GGAAGAGTTCTGTCAAGAAGACATCAGAACATCATATCAAGGTATTCTGATTGAGACCTTCTGTCCAAAGCATCTCTGCCACCTAGCTCCTCTGTCTCCCAAAATAAGAAACGCTCATTTTACTTTACTCAGACTTCCCCTTGTCTACTCACTAACAGAAGGTTGTTATATTCATAGAGGTCTAAACTTCCGCTGTGGATCCTTAATCTCTCAAAAGATTACTGATCATTATATCTGTGAGGGAAATTCTTTAAAAGTTAAAAAAGCTTTAAAAGTCTATTCAACCCCCCCCCCCCCCCCCCTCTAGACTTTTACATCTATCTAGGACCATCACAAATTTCGGCCAAAAAGGTGTCTGTCGTCGTTCCAGTTCACAGGTGCGGGTTGGGTTTGCTCTCTGTCGTTGGTCGTTCGATTGAGGACTGGGGGTGATTTTTTTATTAATGAGCCGCCACTTGGACTGGCGACTCGATCTTGCTTTGACCGGCGCTCTCCTTAATCACGGTTAAGACCAACAGTATTTTGAGAATTATTTTTAATCGGAATTTATTTATTTAATTACCATTAATCCGGGAAAAACTTCAATAGTAATAATAATAATAAGAAATAATGTTCCCAATATTACTCCTAGAGTTAGCATAGACCAAATTATGATTAAATTTGGGATTCACATAAATGTGACCTACTGTTTCGCACCCCCAAGTATCGATCTACGCCTTACTTCATCGCACCACCATCCATCTCTGCGCCTTACTTCCTCGCACCACCATCGAACTCAGCCTTCCTTCCTCATTCAGCATAATTGAACTCAGGAACCTCCGAACAGCAGTGGCATCGACCTTCTCTGCCTCCGCTTCCTTGGCCGTTTCCGTCTCCGTCACCACCGCCATCGTCCTTTCCCTCTAGCCGAGAACACAGTCGTGGTCTTCGCCGCCGCTGCCTCCCTGGCTCTCGACGCCGCCCTACACCGCTTTCTTTTCTTCCCTTTCTGTCCGGCGCCACCCTAATGAAGACCTTGCAGATCTGTGAAGACGGTTCGGAGGTTAGGGAGTGTGGTTAAGGTTAGATCTAGATCTAGATCCATGGAAACAGCGGCTATAGTTAGATTTGGGGCTGTGGTACGGTTGGTGTGGCCATGGGAGGGCTGTGAGGTCGTGGAGGGCATCAATGGGGACTGGTGGGGGTTTGTTTGGTAGTGACATGGATGGGAGGTGTGTGGGATGATGTTTGGCCGGGACCGGCGGCGTCACCCACCGGAGAGGACGGCGTGTGGTGTGTGACAGTGACGATGGTGTAGGGATTTAGAGTGATGATGCAGTGCAAATTTGGTCAATGGAAGATGGCGGTGGTGTAAGGTGCAAAGATGGAGAAGGCAGGGTTGAACGCTGGTGGTGTTGACCGGCGGTGTTGGGTTCGTTGGGCGGTGGGTGGTCAACGGGTAGACTGGTGGCTAAGGTGGTGGGGCAGGTCAGGGGGCGGTGTTTCACCGGAAAAAGTCGCCGGAAAATTAACTAACGATCATAGTGACACGATTCATGGCGGCAGTGACATCCGAAAGTGACACGAAAACAGTTACTCAGTTAGTGACATAAAAAAAAGTGACATAAAATTGGGCGGTGCCGACGGCGGCGTCACTGTGGCGGCGTCACTATGACGGTGTCACTGTGTCTGTGGCGGTGTAATTGGCGTGAAAAATTTTGAAAAAATCGGCAGTGATGACTCTTAGTTACAAAAAAACGAACACAGTGACATAATTTTTTTGCAGTGACATCATGTTTTCTAATTCCTCAGGTGTGACCTTCTTGATCACTTTTTTGCCCCTTTTTAAAAGTGGTCTTTTTTTTATAATTGGTTCAAGATTAATAATATTCAAGTAAAAACCCCTAATAATAATTATACTAGTAATTATACTAGTAATTCATAATAACAATAATGATGATGTTGATGGAATATGAAAACCTATGCACTAGTAATCAAACGATGACTAACGAATTGCAAAAAAAATCATGAAATTTTATCAAATTTCTAGTCAATCGTCAAATCATGGCCCCAACTCTAAATAGCTTTTTGCATTCATAAAATCATGACTGCCCATAATTTTTTCCCCTTTAATTCTCCATTATTATTTTCCTTTTTATATACGTCATCCGTCCCGCAAAGAAGTTTCTGCTTTCCTTTTTTAGCAATCCCAAAAAGTTCCATTTTCTTTAAATGTCCAGTTATTTACATCAAAACAGTGTCAAACAGTGCAAAACAATGTCAAACAGTGTTGAAACAGTAAAATTACCTCATGTTAAGTTTATTTCTTTCCTTAATATGTGTGTAGGTCAAACTGGGAACTTCTTTGTGGGACAGAGGGAGTAAATTTATTTTTGGTTTCTTCCTGATTTGGCATGAATTGATGTATAAAAAAGTGGGAATAAATTAAAAATGTATAGTTGTGATTATGTAAAAAAAATCAATATTAACCATATACCAAGTGCAAGTTTCCAAAAAGCGAAATGTAAAAAATTCATACCAGTAAATGCCAGTTTACGTGTCTCGTTGGCTTGTAGTATTTTTTGGTTCCGTCTCACAAGGGAAGAATGCGGAAGATCAATGTTGAATGTCGGTATAATGGTATTGAAAAAGCAACCTATTTGTAGAGTTACGTCTTATTCAATTCCTCTTATTATTACTACGTATTTTTCTTCACTTTATTCATTCTATCACGTTAAGGTTATTTTATCCGATATTTGATTTTATACTATCATTTAGTTTTAATTCTTTATTATTATAATTATTCTTTACGTATTTAATACAAATCTTATGAATCTATTTTTCTAAATAATTGTATCACGTTTTCATGGTCAATCTTAAATAGTACTCTCTCCGTAACTTTAAAATCTTCCCATTTGAAAAGTAGGTCGATTAAGAATAGTGAAAGAGGATATAAATTATTAAGGGTATGATGGGAAGATAGTGGAATTGTGTGATGGAAGTTAGGATAAATCCAAAAAAAAATAGTTGTAATAGTGTATTATTTTCAAAATTATTGAGGGTATGATGGGAAGATATAGAAATAGGAAGATTTTTTAGTTACGGACGAAAAAGGAAAGTGAGAAGATTTTTAAGTTACGGAGGGAGTAGTACTATAATAGAAATGCATAATACTTAATGACTTGAATTGACTTTCCCAAGTGACCAAATCCCAAACCCCCAATATTAAGTAGGAAAAATTGAAAACAATAATCCCAACTATTGTTGGTCCGCTGAAATAATCCCAACTATTGATTATTTTTGTATAATCCCAACTATATAGACTATCCGCCAATAATGGTCCATGACCACATATTACCTCTATAAAAAGTGAATTTTAAATAGAAATTAAGCGTAAAAGTTAAAAGTTGAGATTATTTATAGGGATTACTTGTTATATCTCATCTCATCCACTTTAGAAACTACAAGAATTTATTCATAGGGACCATTATTGGTGGAAGGTCCCTAAAGTTGGGATTATTCTGTAATAATCAATAGTTGGGATTATTATGAGCAGACCGCCAATAGTTGGGATTATTACTATCAATTTTTCCTATTAAGTACTCGTACAAAATATTGACAGGTAGTCAGGTATCAACTTCTACAAAAGGACAAGACTCCAAAATAGACATTACAAAAGGATTTGGAAAACTAATACCCCAGTACTCCGTAAGATTTAAAAGGACAAAGACCAATTTCACAATGCTCAAAATGATAGTTTTCAAATTTTCATTCAATTTGGGTTCCAAATTCTATATTTTACGGGGCTTCTCGCACAATTTTATTTACTCCCTCAGTATCACTTTAATTTATTTGTCTCAATTGCTTTTCCACGTAGTTTAAAATAATTATTGTGGATTTTATAAAAAATAAAGTTTTTGGTATTGTAATGATACTATAACCGCTTTTTGAGTGAGTTTTTTTCAAATGGAAAATGAGACAATTAATTTGATATGTTTCGAAAAGTAAAGAGGAACAGATAAAGTGATATGGAGGGTAGTGTAGAAATTATAAACTTGATTTAAAACAACATGGTGTCAAGAAAAACTTAAAACACCAAATATCAACCCTAAGCTTTATATTCAGCGATATGATGAATACTACGTGTAAAGTATTCATGAATATTAACCCTAAACTTGATACTACGTGTAAATGATTTAATGAATATAATAATTTAAAAATATCACCCTAAGGCTATGTTTTGTATGACATAATCACCCATGTAATGTGATAAGTATTACATGTTGATTTGATTAAGATGTTTAGTATGTCATTTTATTTTAAACCGTAATATAATGGTCATTATATTGCATATGTGGAACTCAATCAACTCATTACTTTGATTTGTGTAATAAGCATTACACTAAACAAGATGTGTATTTGACATTATAGCTTACACATACTGACACACTGCGCACACACACAGTGCACACACATACACACACACTGCACACACATACACACACACTGCACACACTGCACACACTACACACTGCACACACACACACACACACACACTGCACACACACACACCGCACACTCACACACACTGCACACACACACACACACACACTGCACGCGCGCACACACACACACTGCACACACGCACACTGCGCGCGCACACACACACACACTTCACACTCACACACATTGCACACACACACACACACACTGCACACACACAGATACACAAACATAATTACATTATGTAATGTTGATTACAATTCAAAGTTGTTATTTAAGTAACCAAACATAGTAATGGAATAGAAACTTCATTACATTACATTTTATATTGCATTACGGACTTCATTCCATTTCATTGCATTACATCATACCAAACATAGCCTAAGTTTTATACGGAGTATTGATCATTAATGAATTTAAAATTTTCAGGCCCTGAGCAAGAAAGGAAAGCAAGAATACTCCAGAGGGTATATCACTATATCAGTAAGTTTTCAATTCAAATAAACATGTCACAACTCATAAGTCATCTTTTATATATACTCTCTATCATTTAAGCATATTATGATTTTTTTTGGATGAAGGGGGCTTATATTAGAATAAGAGCATTCAGCAAGGATCTAAAATAACAAGAGTACCACCAATAACCATCCGTCCTTGGGCCAGACTCTGAATTAACCACCTTCAAGAAAGCAGTATAATTCGCTGACCCTAAATTGGGCATAATTGAGCCAACAATGGTTACTATAGCACTCTCATCACCCGAGCCTAATGCAAGAGTCTTACAATAGTAAACAAAATAACAAACAAAAACAACAGTCTGAACGTCAAAAGAAATAAAACAACCAATAATAAAATAGGCACCACCATGGAACTTCTGCACCTGCAACGTCACGAGCATATCAGACGGGCCTATTAGTTGAAGCCCGTCTCCTCCCCGTTTTTTGTGTTGTCCAGTGCCATCTCTTCTTCTGTGTTGTTTTCTTCTGCCGGATCCTTCCAGACTCTCCTGCGCTTCTGATCAACCGAGACCTCCCCTGCACCGCTTCTACTCTCTTCCTTTGTGCCACTACTTTCTGTCTCAGCTATACTCCCCTTGCGTCCCTGTCTCATAGTTTCTTCCTCATCTCCCTGAGCCCTCCTATAATGATTCGGACCTCCCTGTTTATCCACCAACCACTTACCACCCCTTGTGGGGCTAATCTTTCCCCCACCACTTGCTCTGAGATCAGCACTAAAGTTTTTCTCCAACACGAGATCCTCCACATATTTTAATGGGCAAAATTTCTCAGAGTGTCCCATAACCCTACAAATGAAACAGAAACTGAGTAGCTTTTCATATTTAAAATCAACCCAGTGTCCTTCCCCTCCCTTAGTCAAAGTAGAGCCCTTTTTTAGGGGCCTCCTCACATCCATCTTAACCCTAACCCTCAAGTAAGAACTCCATTTTTCCTTAAAGTGGCTCTCATAAAAATGATAAATTCCCCAATATAGTTACCCACCCTCCTAGCAGTATCAACATTCATAAACTTATACGGCACATTGTGCACTTGCACCCAGAACTCTGCTTCAAACAAAACCATTTTATGTGGTATATCATTTGGGCCAACCGCCTTTAACAATAACAGATTTCGCTCAAACATCCAAGGACCATCCTCTATAACACAACACGATTCATATCAATTTTATGGTTAAAAGTAAATAGATACCTCTTGTCATCAATTTCTTGAACCGTCATTCCTCTTCCTGGTCTCCAGAGCGGTATAAACAGATCCTGTAATGCCTGAAATCTGACTTTCCGGTCGGTATGAATGACTCCCACCACCGGAAACTCCGCCACCTTTGCGTTTGGAATGGTAACCTCTTCCTCCTCATCATCAAAATTCAGCCTACTGTTTTCCTTCTCCAAAGCCAAACGTCTATACTGCTCTACCACATCTTCCATAGTTAAAAATTTGTCCGCCTAGATGCCCCTTCGAGAGGACTTCTTCTCAACAGTCGAAGCCGCGGTAGTCAAACCAAAAGCCGCAGCAGCACTCCACCGACTTCCCTCGTCCCAAAAGTCAAACCAGAAAAACTCCCCCCTGCACTCCTCGATGCCTGCCGATAGACACAGACCCAAACCACCTACTCGCCCCACCTTTGATTCGAAGAAGTCCGAAGCCAAGAATGAAAAGCGAAAAGGGAAAACTCAACCTACACTAAGGCGGCGGCGAGAAGCTACCGAACCCTAGAGATCAGAGAAGCTTTTTCACATGAATGTATTATTGCCAAAGTGTTTGTTTTGAACAGTGATCTTGAGATACTCCGTATTATTATATATGGTAATGTTTCATGGCTCTCTTTAAGCATATTATGATGTAAAATACTAAATAAAATCTTTAATGTAGTAACCGCCTTGCTTAATTAAATGCATGTCTGTGTTAATTATGAAGTTGAAAAATATTGGATTCAGTGGAGAAAATAATAATATTACATCCCATAATATAAGATGTATTTGAGTTTGTGTTGGATTTTAAGATAATAAAGGATAAATTAAAGTGGTTGTTTTTATCATTTTAACCTCTAAAGTGAGGAAGTAAAAAGTTAGTGGAGTCCATTTAAGAAACTGATCATATTTTTGGGACAATCTAAAAAGGAAAGTATATCTTATAAAATAGGACGGAAAAAGTACTTGGTTTTAATTAAACTATGATACATTTGTTGTTCTACAATCATCCTTAGCTTATTTACTCAAAACGTAGAGCTCCGGTCGAAATGTTTTCATTGGATGTGAATATGTATTTAGGCTATGTTTGGTATGATGTAATCAATCATGTAACGTAATGAACATTACGTGTTAATTCAAATACAATTTTTGATATGACATTTTATTTTAAACCGTAATGTAATGTGCATTAGGTAGTACGTGGAATTCATTACTTTTATATGTGTGATAAGCTTTACATTAGAAAAGCTATGTATTTGAGATTGCACTTTCTTATACTCCTATTTATTTTCGTGCAGCCAATTGCTACTATACCTCTCCCATCAAAACTTTTCCCTTTCAAATCTCCATATTTCTTCTTCCCGGGTGTTATGTCGCTGCTAACCAAACATAATAATGGAATATTGATTTCATTTCATTACATTACAATTTTTATTGCATTACAATATTACATACTCTATTCCATTCAATTGCATTGCGTTGCATTACATCATATCAAACATCATACCGTTATAGTCTTTTAGATAATATTTTTTGCCAAACATGTCGATTGGTAATTGTCAATTAATAGTCTCTGAGTTTGAGAACCCAACATCGAAATTTATGAAATAATTAAAAAAAAATATCAACGTCAAGCCATTAAGTTTAGTTTCACGTTTTCAGATCATAAAAAGTTTATACGGATCGGAGTATTAATTAATCATAATAGAATAAACAAATTTATAAGAAGGCCAGTGTAAGACACTACAAAATACTCGATCTAAACCAGATGTAGAAAATTAGAAGCACCTGTGGAGTAAATTGAGTGACATATCACAAAACGAGCAACTCCATATGACAAATGGTGTTATCAATCATCTTTACTAGTTACTACTATACACGGAGTCCAACAAACAATCAAATAGAAATAATAATCTAAACTTAATAATTAGAGAGTAATTTTTGTGCTTCTGTAATTTTGCTTTTATTTACTGCTATTTAGAGAATTGTCACTTATTTTAAGCATATTTGAATAACCTTTATTCTTTGAGAAATGATAGAGCTAAGGCTCATTTGATTGAGAAGATTTTTTGGATGAATATGTGGCGTCAAAATGTTGGTAAAAATCCTAGAAAAATAATCCTGGTAAAAGTTATTCAAAATGTTAGTAAAAATTCTAGTAACAATCATTTTGACGCCACATATTCAGCCAAAAAATCTTCTCAATCAAATGAGCCATAGCTCTATCGTCTAGAAATATAGAGGTTATTTAAATATGCTGAAAATAAGAGACATTTCCCTATCAAACACTACAAGAAAACAACAATATTGGAACGGACTTGACATAGATTGATTGAGTTTCGCAGGGATCATAACATATTTTTGGCATGACATCGTGCCATATAGGTGGTGATAAAATGGCATTGGCACGGAATTTGGCACGGATTTGACATATATGTGCCCAATCCGTTCCAAATACCATATAAATTTTGGCTAATCAGCCAAATGTCCATGCCAAAATCGTTGTTTTTTTGTAGTGAAAGTTGCAACAATATGAATAACTTTTCCTATTATACACTTTCGTTTGTCATGTTTAATAGGATTATTTAATAAAAACAATGATAATAAAACATAAAAAATTAACTAATAGAAAAATAAACCTAAAAAATATAAAAGGAGAAGCAGTACATAGCGATAGAGGAAAAAATGTCAACCTGTAACAAATGTCACCGTGATGGCAGTTTTAAAAGAAAAGTTTGAAGAAAAAAATGGGGGATTTTATTGATAAAAGGAGAAGCAGTGCATAGCGATAGAGGAAAAAGCAAAAAAAAAAAGTTCAAAGAAGTAAAAAAGAGAGTTAACAAAATAACAAAGATAGACCCATGAGAAATCTCTATATTGACGATGTTTGTTCTTTTGAGATTTCTTGTAGATTTTGAATTGCGTGTTCAAATTGTCGATTGGAAAACAATTTTCTGAGGAAATGAAATTGGCTTTGTGGCAAATTGTGATCTTGAATTTGAACTTCCTAATTTCTTCCGGTATGAGATAAGAGATCGACAATCACTTTCGGTTGCATGTCCTAAGAAGTCATATGTGAATATTGAGTTGAGTAACCAAAATTGTGAGAGTCATTGAGTAAGCCACCTGGATCGAAGGAAACTGGGGTTGTTTTTGAGAAGAGAAGACTTGTTGATTCTCGGTACCTGTCGCCTAGATTTGATAATTAAAAATTAGTTTAGATATGGATGTAGGTCCTCGGTTTCTAACAAACCCATGTGTTGAAGAAATATTGAGTCGTCCTACACCGATTATGAGAGCCCTTTGATGGCAATTGAGATTACCATAAGCCTGGTGCTTTTCTTGGTCAGTGAGTTGATGCACAGTTGAGCGATGATTTGGGCGACCTTTGTTTGGCCGTGTGTTGTATCGAACAATTTGCCAATCGTCTGATGGCTTCCCTGCTTTGAGGCTGTGGAAGGATAGATGGCGATGGGGCTGAGCATTTGTCGTTGTGAAAGGGAGCTGTGTATTGGGCGCAGGCTCCCACCTATTTGTTGTGCCTGGGATGATATCCTTCACACCAGGTTCTACGCCGGTAATTAGAAGCGGGATATTGAGTTGTACCTGTTTTTGTTAAAAACCCTCTGTGCCTCTTGAATATGCTATCCCAGACTCTGGATTGGGAATAGTTGTAGCAATTATCATTGACTAGGCAATGTTGATTCCGGCACTTATTCCGGCGGATACAAGGGTGCCAGAATTTCATAGGCTTTTGTATGATATCATTGGATTTTTAGAGACATGGAGGAGATCCTCATTCTTCATTTCTTAAAATTTTTAAAGCAAAGTTTGAAGTTTTTAAGAATAAAAATGTTTATCTTTATGACATTTTCATATGAATGTGGACATTTTAACACAAAATGACATTTTTCTGGCCATCGGAGCTAGGAGGTGGGGGATGCAGTGGCAGAGGTCTAAATATTTTTAATATTGTTTTCGATTTTTATTTTTTGTATTTTAATTAGTTTTTTATTTTTATTTAATATTATTATTTTTTTCTTTATTTTTATTTTATTTAATTAAATTTTTTCCTATTAGATAAAATTGGATATACATATATATCAGCTTAAATACCTACCTTTAAGTTTATGTTATGTATTATCAAAAATAAAATGAATAGCCTTTTCTTAACTACTATCAAGTTAGAATATATATTTAATTTCAGCGTCACTGCGCCCATATGCATTATATATTCATGAGTATACTATATGCAAATCCCATACAAAAGTGTTATATGTTTTATAAAATATAAATGGTTGCTACTAACTTTATGTAAGTTAATGTGAAGGGTTATATATCCATTTCCCTTTTATTATTATTATTAGTATTAAATTATTAGTATTTTTATTAAAAATAAAACTATGATTTTCTCTTTTTTTGGACAATTTTTTCTAACCTATATAGTATTTGCTCAATGTTAATGCCAACATCCTTGAACTGGGATGTGATTCAAACCTGTGACCTCCTCTTTGGGAGTGCCACAGTGATACCATCAGACCACAAAGTACTTGTCAACTACTCCCTCCGTAACTTTAAAATCTTCTCATTTGAAAAGTAGGTAGATTAAGAATAGTGAAAGAGAATATGAATTATTGAGGGTATGATAGGAAGATAGTGGAATAAGGTGATGGAATGTAGGATAAATCCGAAAAAAGTAGTTGTAATAGTGTATTATTTTCATAATTATTGAGGGTATAATGGGAAGATTTAGAAATAATGTCTACTCTATGTGGTCCTATTAATTTAAGGCTATTAATTTTACTCTAATTTCAGGATAAAAATTGTAAAAATAATGCACTCCTAATCATCTTCTTTTGTAACAAATAATGTCTACTTCGAGATTTGCAATGACCTTGAACGTTCAAACTATTGGACTAGTGAATTCTAAACACGGAAAAGTGTTTCAAGTTGTAACTTGTAACATACTTCATACATAACTTGTGAGAAATGATCTCTTCAAGCGGTCTCTATGGGAATCGCAGTCCGGACATGGTTATTTGGAACCCTTTCTGGTGTAACATTTTGATGAAATGTTATGAACATGTTCTTTATTAAGTGTAGATGTATTCTAAAAACTTTAGTTTAAAATTGAATAAGTGACTTAAATAAATTATTGAAATATATCGCACTTTATTTATATACATAAAGCATAATATACTTCAATAATTTATTTAACCGACTTCCCGATTAATTTTTTTATTTATAATTTTGTGGACATAAACTAAACATTATAAAAAAACGTGCTTAAAAATTCATCAAAAAATTCCACCGAGAAGGATCTCAAATGGCTTTGGTCAGACAAGAGTTCCCGTCATGTGGTCCACACGAGATCACCACTCTATAACTTGCAATAATAATAATGCCTTAAAAATATGAGACCATACCAAAAAAACACCTTAAAATGAAAGTAAAGGTAGGTTGGTAGGACCGGTGGGCGTAGCTCAACTGGTAGCAAGGGAGTGCCACAAGGGTTAGGTCTCGGGTTCGAATCCCGGCAATTGCGATGCGGGGTTACTATGCTGAAAAATGCATAGGGCCTCTGCAAGTACCGGGGACAGAGCCCCACTCTCTATCTGTCAGATTGTGATTATAGTCCAATTTACATCCTCTCATCGTGCCGTCCGGTCGGTGTTGGGGGCCCTCAGGATGGGGTGTCATCCTTTTTTTAAGGTAGGCTGGTAGGACCAATTTACAGCCCAAAAAAGATAAATGGGTTTGACTAAAGCCCAAAAGGGATACCAACAATACAGGAACTGCACAAATAAATGTAGAAGCACCGTCCTTCTAAACTTCAAAGAGGTATCTGGGAATTCCGTCCGCATTCAGGTCAGTCCATAGCCGACACGTGCACCATCGTCTCCACTCACTTTCCATAAATACCTAACACCATACGCTTTTCCCTATTTTCTTCCACACAAAACCCTCAATCGCCGCTGGACGCCGTTTCCCGTCGGCAAATCAAGCCTCAGATCTCTCCTCCTCGCATCAAGGTAATTTCATTCAACGTTCATGTGTATCCTTCTATTTTATTAGAATTTTTTTTGTGGTTATGACTTGTGATTCTGATTTTGGTTTCACAGATGGTGTCAGACGCTAGCAAAAAGAGAGAAGCGCAGAAGAAGGCAGCTGCCGCTGCCAAGCGAGGCGGAAAATCTGCACAGGCTGCCGCGTCGTCTAAGGCTGCTGCAACATCTACTGATGCGATTAACAGCGTTGACAATGTAGCGAACGGAGTTGGGGAGCTTCATATATCCGATCGGACGTGCACAGGTGTCCTGTGCTCGCATCCTCTGTCTAGAGATATTCGGGTTGGTTTTCTGATCCGTTTGATTGATTCATTAGGGTACAACTGCAGAATACAGATTTAGCAGATGTTGTTTTTCACTGTTTTTTGTTATGTCTTTACCCGAATCTCATTTTGTGTGCTTACATGGCTATAGCTGCTTTGTGTCTTGACTAAAAAAGGATTGTCTTTTACATTCTTTTAAGAGCTGGAATGCGGAATAGCTTAATTAAAATATATTTTGTTTTTTTAACCCGTCAAGTAATGTAAAACCGGATCTTTTTAATTACTAACAAACGATTATCCATTAGGATTAGTAGTAGTGCAGGGTGAATAATTTTGATGACCTTTTTTGTTGACCTTTCCTGGATCGAGTCTTATTGATGACTTCACTGGGATTGATGACTTCACTGGGATTGAATGGATGATAATTTTGATGACCTTTTTGTATTTCCAGATCGAGTCTTTGTCCCTAACTTTCCACGGGCATGAACTTATTGTTGATTCTGAACTGGAGCTCAACTACGGAAGGTATGTTGTTTGTTTAGGGTTTTTTAGTATTGTGTCTGAAAATTGGAAAGTGTATAATGCAGTTTTGAGCTTTGATTTTAACATATATCGTTATTATTGCAGACGCTATGGATTACTGGGATTGAACGGATGTGGTAAATCCACTCTTCTCACTGCAATAGGACGCCGTGAACTTCCAATCCCAGACCATATGGATATTTTTCACCTTAGCCATGAGATTGAAGCGTCTGATATGACTTCACTTCAGGCTGTAATAAGTTGTGATGAGGAAAGGATAAAGTTAGAGAAAGAAGTTGAAGCATTGGCTGCACAAGTACGATACCTTTCTTGACAAATGACAAAAAATTATCAGCTGTATGTTTTTATATTATTCTTATTCCTTGAACTAGTATCACTGATAACACACATTCGACTTCAGGATGATGGTGGTGGGGAACAACTTGATCGTGTATATGAGCGTTTGGAAGCTATGGATGCAGCTACTGCTGAGAAGAGGGCCGCCGAGGTCTTGTTTGGTCTTGGTTTTAGTAAAAAGATGCAGGAAAAGAAAACACGTGACTTTTCAGGAGGATGGCGAATGAGAATAGCCCTTGCACGTGCCATATTTATGAACCCGACTATATTGTTACTTGATGAACCCACGAATCATCTTGGTAAGTTCACTTTTCTTTTTATTCTTGAAAGTTCGAAACTATATTTGAACTTTCAATTTAAAAATACTAATATAGAGCATCTTTCTTCATAGTTTATGCATGTCAACAGTCAAGAATACAATTTCATATGCTTCTACATGAATGTCTCTATTATCATACATGTCCTCTATCATGGATATTTTTCTTTACGCATAAAAATAAAATTATCTGAGGCTTGAATGGTAATTGGCTAATAGAATTTATGGTAAATTGTTGGGCATCAACGTTCTAAAGCATGCAAAAAAAGGCTACTTGCTGCTGTTTTTGTGTCCCACCCACAGAGAATATGTTTCATGCCATTTAATAATTTTCTAGAGTAAAACTTTAGTTGCTTCCATTGTAGCCTGAAAACCACATGAAATAGTAAAAAACGACTCTTTTCTCCTGATATAATAAAAACCACAGCAAATATCGGGAGCAACCATTTGGCTTTGTTGCAGCAGTAGTGTTGTTTCTTATGTGTAGTGTACTTGTGCAGATTTATTGCATATTGAGTGATTTCTAATGAACTCCTCTCCCAATACAGACCTGGAAGCATGTGTGTGGCTAGAAGAAACATTAAAGAACTTTGATCGTATTCTTGTGGTCATTTCCCACTCGCAAGATTTTCTCAATGGTGTTTGTACCAATATCATCCACATGCAGAACAAGAAACTGAAGATGTACACTGGCAATTATGACCAATACGTCCAAACCCGTTCTGAGCTAGAAGAGAATCAGATGAAACAGTACAAGTGGGAGCAAGAACAGATTGCATCAATGAAGGAGTACATCGCCCGGTTCGGTCACGGTTCAGCCAAACTCGCACGTCAGGCACAGAGCAAAGAGAAAACCTTAGCCAAGATGGAGAGGGGTGGCCTTACCCAGAAAGTCACGAGGGACAGTGTCCTTGTTTTCAGGTTTTCAGATGTCGGGAAACTCCCACCCCCTGTGTTGCAATTTGTTGAGGTTAAGTTTGGGTACACTCCGGATAACCTCATCTATAAGAATCTTGATTTTGGTGTCGACCTGGATTCAAGGATTGCCCTCGTTGGCCCAAACGGAGCAGGGAAGAGCACATTGCTTAAACTCATGGTTGGAGATTTAACCCCACTGGACGGCATGGTCAGACGCCACAACCATCTGAAAATCGCACAGTACCACCAACACTTAACAGAGAAGCTTGACATGGAAATGTCTGCACTCAACTATATGATCAAAGAGTACCCTGGGAATGAGGAAGAGAAGATGAGGTCAGCAATTGGAAGGTTTGGTCTGACAGGTAAAGCTCAGGTGATGCCGATGAAGAACCTGTCAGACGGGCAACGTAGCCGGGTGATATTTGCTTGGTTGGCATTTAGGCAGCCGCACTTGCTGCTGCTCGATGAGCCAACCAACCATTTGGATATAGAGACGATCGACTCGCTTGCAGAGGCTTTGAACGAGTGGGATGGCGGGATGGTTCTGGTCAGCCATGATTTCAGACTGATTAACCAGGTTGCCCATGAAATATGGGTTTGTGAGAAGCAGGCGGTTACCAAATGGGAGGGTGACATCATGGACTTCAAGCAGCACTTAAAAAAGAGGGCCGGTTTGGGTGACTAAAAAAGAAAACTAAAACTAAATAGATCATTTATGGTTTGAGCCATATACTCAGGTAGTGGATGTCTATTATTCGATGGCTTATATTTATATTCTGTTCCCCATATAACTTTCATATGAATTTTGCTCTTTGTATTCCGGAGGATTATTATAATAGGTGGTCTGACCAGTGTGCGGAATTATTCTGCACGTGAGGACAGTCAGTTTAAGCAGTTGTCGGGGTTGGAATGAGGTTGTCAATCCCAGTTTTTTGGGTTAAACACCGAAGCTTCCCCAGTGGCTATTTGCTGTATTATGTACTACAACTTCATATTCTTGTTAGTGGATTGGTAGCTTTTTTCGGTCGACAGTGGCTGTATTGTAGCTGATAGTTTGAATCTGATCATGGGATGAAGGGTTGAATAATCCATAATATCTTACGTACCTATGTTTAGTACATTGTGTAGCTCTGTTACAGTCTCTACAAGTTAGCATTAAAAAAAACTTGGTTGATAAGATTCTGGAGAATTCGGATATTCTCAACTCTCAAGTTTGACTCCATCAAATTGGAACTCAATCCGAGTCTCTCAAAATTAGTCCGGACGGTCATGGAAATTACATATAGGAGCACGAGTTTGAGACCTATAATTTCTGTTATTGACTTGTTACAAATAAGCTTGTTCTGCTTCTCAAAATGGATGTAATGGAAATACTAAAGAAGCGGGATTAGATGGGGATGGATTAGGATGTTTTGGTCTTTATGTATTTTTTAACTATGGAAGTTTGATCTAGTTTGTTTAAGTCCGGTCTGGTCTAGGACTGAAAACAGTCCAAAAGACAACATTCTTAGTCGGGATTATAAACGAGTTAAGCACAAACATGGATATTCTTAGTTGGGATTATAAACGAGCCGAGCACGAACATGGATATACTTGTTTGAGCTTGATAAGAATGTACAAGATTGAACTCTAGTCACATTTTTTATAATAAGCTTTATTTGAATTATATTTTACTAAAAATCTGAATTAGTTATATAATACTACAGTACTATGTATATATTTGTACAGCTACTCTAGTCACATTTTTTATAATAAGCTTTATTTGAATAATATTTTAGTAAAAATCTCAATTAGTTATATGCGTAGTAATATTTATTTGTTTCTATCACTACTTTAGATGTGCGATCAAACAAGTTTGTTTCATTCAACTGAATTTTAGCTTAAAGTAGCCTTAAACAACACTTTTAAGTGACTGTGGTTCATAGTTTCTAGTGTAGAACTGTAGATAATGGTTTTAACCTTCAATAGATATAGGAAGTGACACAGATGAAATATTTCTTTTTCAAGTCACTCCATTTAACAAAAATTGGTTGATTTTTTATTGATTGAATAGTATTAAGAAAAAACAAAATGTCATTTTTCTTATTGAATTGGCATTTCTAAGTAAACTTGTATTTAGTGGTTTGATTATGTTAACTATGCAATAGCAAGAACAAGGTAAAAGCATAGCAAATTGATCATTCGTTCGTTTATCTTTACGAAAACACTCCAAACATCTAGTCAGAAACGATTATGATAGACTTGTGAAATTGGTCATTTAGTGAGAAGACAACGCTTCATAGTCAAATATCAATATTGTGTCTTAAGTCTTAACTTCAGGGGCGGAGCCAGGACACTGGGCCGGACTGGGCCGGTACAAAGAATATTTTTGGAAAAACTTTCACACGGAATTTTTTACACTAAAAATATAGAGATTTTTAAAATTTGGGCTGGGCCAGGGCCAGGGGTGGCCACCCCCTAGCTCCGCCCCTGCTTAACTTGCGTATGCAATATATGTGATTATGTGTAAACGTTATGAAAATTTCCACAAAATACTTAGTGCAGAAACCCTATAGTATATGGACCAGAGGGATTTGGGTCATTGATCCATGTCCAAGATGTTTGAGTTCTTGTTATTATTACTAGGGAAAACTGTCAAATAGGTTCTCGAACTTTCATAAAAAGGTCAATTAAGTCCTTCTATAGGAGGTTCTGTCCGACTGTCGCGATTTGGGGCAATTCCCGGTGGAATTTTTTGATGAAATTTTTTGAGCATCTTATTCACCAAGTCTAGTTTACTCATACCAAATTTCAGCTAAAAATTCAATCGGGAACACATTCAAATTAATTCTTGAAGATAATTGCGCATTTTTGCGTTCTCAAATTAATTTGAATGCGCTCCCGATTAAATTTTTAGCTGAAATTTGGTATGAGTAAACTAGACTTGATGAATAAGATGCTCAAAAAAATTCATCAAAAAATTCCACCAAGAACCGTCCCAAATCGCGACGACTGGATAGAGTCTCCTATAGAAGAACTTAACTGACTTTTTTATGAAAGTTCGAGGACCTATTTGACAGTTTTCCCTTATTACTATATAATAATGGAAAATGCATAATGTACATGACTTGTACACAAATTGTACACAAAACCCCCTTAATTGCCTGTGTACACATGCAATTCGTTTAAAAAGGGGCGGGACTTCATGTCAAATTGTCTGTGTACAGGCAATGTACACATTTCATGTACAACTTGTGTACACCAAGAATGGTCCATATAATGATATAGTATTATTATATATTGGGCACATTTGGTTTCAAATTTCAATCACTATATTTTCAATATCATTACCCATACATAACACCATAACATTAGTTAATCAAAATTTCTATTATAAAAAAATCATGAATATGCAAAAAAAAACATGCATTATGCTTGAAAAGATGACTTTGGAGTCTTTGTTAGACAAAAAATGTTCTTCAACCATGACATTTATTTGAAGTGTATAATAAACTGTTATACACCGTCTGTTTAAAGAAATGTAATCATTGTAGAACACTTGAGAGTCAAAAAAAATTCATGTATAATGCATGTAAAAGCCAAATGGAGAACATGTTAGTTAACTATTAGCGCTCCAAGCAATCTTAGAAGTAACCTTCAGTTGTATTTACCTTGATTGGGTTTAGGGATGGCAATGGGGCGGGGTTGGGGCGGGGGTTCACTCCCCCATCCCCGCCCCGTGTCTAAAAAATCGCCCCCACCCCCGCCCCATCCCCCACTACTATTCGACCCGCCCCATCCCCGCCCCGACCCGCTAGACCCACGGGTACCCAACGGGGAAGTACTCGTCAAAAATTAACATCATTTTAGACACTGACAATTTTTCAAAAATTTAACAACACTTCTAGTAGCCAATTTTTTTTACTTTTGAAGTGTCAATGTAATCTTACATCCCATTTCAAATCTAGAACACATTATACGCGTTCTAAATTAGTAATTTTTATCAAACTCTAAATTAGCATTGATTAGCTCTATAATATTTTCTTAAACCCTGCATTCAATCAATCATGGTCATTTGACGGCATCTAGGACGACATATGATCACCAAATTTTAAGAGCCCTAACTACAATCATAAAGATGACATTCAAAAGAAAAGAATTAATGCATTATAATAGTAAAGGAAAAAAACTTTCACACCGTGCCTGAGGCGTTTAAGCTAATATCACTTTATAACTTTCCCAAATTCATTTTATTTTATCTCTAAAAAAATCATTTTACTTTATGATTTTGATAAGCAATTTTACAAGATAGCTTAGTTATTAAACAAGAATTAGATAGATCCATTACGCACAATCCATTAGATAGGAAACCACTAAACCCACCGGACCACCATGCTATTTTAATTACTTCGTATTAGTATTACTATTACTATTATTATTGAGATTATTATTATTAATTATTACGGGGGACGGGGCGGGGGTGCATAACCCATCACCCGCCCCATATTTTTGCGGGGAGAAAATATCTCCCCCACCCCACCACCCGCCCCAACTCCCCCCCCCCCCCCCCCCACGGGGCGGTTCCCCACAGGCCCCCGCCCCCATTGCCATCCTTAATTGGGTTGACTAAAAATAAATTCGCACATTCCTCAATCCTCATACAAGTAGGCATGGCCTCGGGCCAGTTCGGGCCTGGGCCCGGCCGGTTCACGGTTCAGGATATGGGAGGCCCAGGCCGGGCCGGGCCAGGCCTCGGTCCAATCTAATTTTTTTTTTTTGGCTTCTCCTAATTAACTCCCAACCTCCCCCCTCACCCCCAAACCACCTCAAATGGCCCAAAATACCCAGCCCAACCCAAAAACTTAAAAAAAATTCAAAAAAAAAAAAAAATTAAATTTGGACCGGACCGGGCCCGAACCGGCCGGGCCGGTTCACCATTCCTAGGGCCCGAGCCCGAACCGTATGACTAGCGGGCCGGGTCGACCCGAACCGCCCTATGGCCCGGTTCCCGGGCCGGGCCGGTTCAAACAGTGACCGGTCCGGGCCGGTTCCGGGGCGGGCCGCCCAGCCCGAGTCCATCCCTGCATACAAGACGCAAATTTGGGATGAAGAGTGTGACTCATAACACTAAAAGGAATGATGCTATCTAAGGGTAACTGGGTAAGGGCAAGCAAATCAAGATGTTGAAACAAAAAACCACTTGAACTAAATGATGGCATTTGTTATAAATACACATTCAAAGAGTAAGTTTCCATACATTCATTATGGATTATTTGTACGTTTCTTACAGTGAAGAAGTCTATGCCCAGAGACATTTCTCCAGCCACAGATTTTCAGTACTACATAAGCAAAAGCACGGTAAACAACAGCCATAATAAATAATACCAACAAATGCTTCCATTTGGCGTTGCTGTCCCCTGATATTTGATAGACGTTCTGGATCGCTTCTTCACCGGATATGCTCCTCTCAGGCCCCACAGCGAAAGACGTGCCGATATACTCATTCTCCAACACTCCCTGAATGTGTAAAGAAGATTACTATTATTAGATAAAGTGAGAGGGAACACATTTATTGTCAGTATCATTATTAAACAAGCTAGAAATTATGCCTGGACAGAGTACGTATGGAATGCTATATACGATATAGGGTATGTCCAAACAGCTCCTGGCAAATCACTCCTGTTTCTGAAATAGCCAGCAGAAAGCATCATCACCACCTGTAAAAAAATCACTTTTTGATGTAATAAGATGCTTAATTACTGTATTTGAGATTGGCTCAGTTTGGTTATAGGAAATGTATTGCTATGGAACATGTTTTCCGTGAAACTATGTTATAAGAGCTTGGTTACTCCTACAATTACAAGAGCTTGGTTACTCCTTCAATTACAACACATTGAGTCAACATGATGTGGTAACTCTCCTTTACTGCAGTGGTGCTTTCCAGGGAACAAATTTTTGCCTCAAGCGAATTTTGTTCGGCTGTTTACGGCCATTACATGTTCTCGGGGTGGGATTCCCCTAAGTATCTCCCCGATAGAGATACACCCTGTTTCGACTAGATAAACGGCCAAATTGTCCAAAATGAAACTCAATCTTAATGTGGCACCAGAGCCAACCAAGCATATG